GGGTGTTTGGGGCCCTGTGGGGGGCATGGCAGCCTGTGAGCTGTGCGTGGGGGACCCACCCCTCCTGAGCAGCTTCCCTCTCTGTCCCCCCACAATCTACCCATAAACCTCACACCCCCAAGCCACCCCCACAACCCCCTCACCCACATACCCAGCCACAAACCCCAAACCTCCACACAAGCCCCATCCCCCCACAAATCTCACACCTTGTGTGCCCACCTGGCCACATGGGGTGGGACAGGACCTGTTGGCAGGAGCTGCGGCTGCAGGGGAAGCTGTCACACTGCAGCCCTGCCCCATGCCCACACCAGTGCTGGGACATGTGTCCCCAGCCTGGGGAGGCTCCTGGTCCCAGGAGCCACTTGGGAAGTGTGATGGGCTGGTGGGGAGGGGTGGAGGTGGCAGCAGAGGTGTGTCAGAGAAGTGGGGGTCAGGGGAGCACTCCAGGTGGGAGAGGCCACCAGAACCAGGCTTAGAACCCCCCTGCCCCCGTAGAGCAGCCTGTGCAGGGGAAGGCCAGCCTGGGAAGAAAGGGCCCAGCTCAGTCCCTGATCCTGAGTTGAGGACTTCCCAGGAAGGGGCAGGGAGCAGAACAGCAAGGGATGGTACTGCTCAGAGCCACAAAGCAGTGGGTGGGACAGCTGCAGCTGGATTCATGTTCTGGTGCTAGGACAGGGCTATGGCTGGGAGGGAGCTAGTGGGGGTAGGCAGGGGCTGTGGGGTCAGGAGTGGGGGGTGCAGGCTGTAGGTTGAGAGTGAGAGGCAGGGGCAGGGCACTGGCATATCAGTGCTGCTCAGCACCACACATTTGGGTGAGTGAAGGGGGTAGGGGACAGCTCTGATTTTTCTATGACAAAAAACCCAAAAGTAAATGCCAAAGTTTATGAATATTTAGAATTTATTTTATTACGATGAGAGAGACACTAGTAGGCTTCCAAAGTGCTTTAAACTTGTAAATACATCAATAAAATATTGCCCAAATGATCTCTCTATATATAGTGGCATTTCATTTTAATAGCAGAAGAACACTATTTTGGGTATTTTAATGAGAGAATTTGGGTTTATCACAGAATTTGCAATTTTTAAGCAGGGAGCACCAGGATCTCTGCTGGTGAGACGAGTGGCAAGACCCAGGTGGAAGAACTTGTCCAGGGCCAGCATCAGGAACCCAGCTCAAGGGCAGATGAGGTGGTGGACCTCTTTGTGCCAAGAGGACACGCTTTGACAGTTCAAAGCAGGCCAGATGTGCTCCCTGGAGCAGACAGGTTCCAAAGAAGAAAAAGGATTGGGCCCCTCACCCCCAGCCCACAGGGGAAAGGGGGAAGAGGGCCCCTTGCTGCTTGTGCTTCTAGCAGCTTGCTATGGCCAGCTGGATGCCTGGTGCTGCCTGGGAACAGGCTGCCTTGCCCCAGGGGCATGGCAGGAGGGTGGCTGGGTGCCCTGGCAGTGGGAGAAGGTGGCAGGGACAGTGTACAAGGTGCTGGAAGCCTGGGCGGGTGCATGGGGAAGTTGTATCAGGTGCCTCCAAGCTGGGGCAGCACCTAGGCTCCTAGCAGCTCACCTGGGAATCCCCAGGGGGTGCCACCACTGAGAGGAAGGACTGGGGCCCTCTGCAGCTCACCCCCGCAGCCGCAGTCAGGCTTTGGCCCTGCCCCGCCCCCCCCCCCCCCAAAAAAAAAACATGGACACCACCCCCCCCACTACCCAAAAAAAAAAAAGATTGGGCCCCTCTCCATAACGTGATGGAAAAATAGAAATGGTTTAGTCCCTGAGGTTTTATTCTATGCCCCACTGCTTCAATTAGGGGGCATAGAATAAAACCTTGGGGA